ATATATATATATATAAACAAAGAGTGCTCAGGATAGAAGAGTTGCGTAATTTTTCCTGTGTTCAGAAAGATGTTATAATTAATTGTTATAATTATATTGTTATAATAAGATTAAATAATTTCAAAAGGATGGTCCCATTGCGTCAATCATGTCTTTCTTTAAAGAAGTTCTTAGCGATTTCCAAAAGACTTTTTTCTATGGGTATGTTAAAAAAAGTGTAGTACATGCAGATTGTTTGACATCCATTGCCGAATTTGACTTGAAAATTGAACAAGATATCAAAATCTCATTAAGATATCTAACCGTTGGGTAATGTCTTTGATAATCTTGTTATGCCTCTCGGTGCTTGTACTATGTCGATTGAAAAATCACTTGTAATTTGTGTTTAATAAACATTTCCATCACTTTCTCAATTGTCCATAATTCATTTTTCTGGGTTGTGATTCCTAATTTTTTTTTAAATTCCAGTTACAAGTAATTTTTTTTTGTCATTTTGATTGAAACGCTATCTTTTATGTTCCACAGACGGTTTGGGACGAAGTGTGCTGGTTGTGAGCAAGGAATTCCACCCACCCAGGTAGTGCGGAGAGCGCAGGATAATGTCTACCACCTGCACTGCTTCGCATGTATCCTTTGCAAACGACAGCTCAACACAGGTGATGAATTTTACCTTATGGAGGACAACAAGCTCGTCTGCAAAGCAGATTACGAAGCAGCCAAAGCACGCGGTAAGGACTCTGATATGTCAGTCAAGTTCCTTAGTACATATATATACATAAGAAGGGCATCTTATTTTCCGCATCAAGTAATAAAACCAATATCTAGTATACAAACAATCATAATCAATATAAACAAAACTCTATATTTACCTAAAAAATGAAGGGTAAAAGTAGATATGACTTTGAGATGACTGCCTTCCAAAGGGGAAATCTAAGTTCGAACCCACGGTTGATTAGTTAACTGCACCTGATTCGCAACAATTGGAGTGCTGACGTAAATTATTACCAGTAGTATCATGAGTTAGGATACCTTTATAGTCGTGCTAACCATGTGGAACTTTTCATCTTTACATCTGATAGATTTTATTTGTTTTGATTAATTAATTGGTGTTTATTATTCGATTCGAAATTAATGAAAGTTATGCCATTTATCCCTTATGCATCCTCTATTTTCCATTTTAATTTGTACTCTAATGTACTCTCTCTTATTTAGATTGCATTAAACTAGAAAGTATTTTAAGTTTTATACATGATTAGAGTTTCAATGTGTTTTGATTTCTGAACATGAATATTTTTCATCACCTTCTTTGGATATTAACACATATCTAAACAGAAATTTTTCATTCTTAATTCATGCGCAATAATGTATTTGGACAAATATCACGCGTACAAACATTTTGACTTTCTTGTTCTATCTGGCTAGACTTAGACTTAGAGGTCACGACAGTCGTGATTCAGCTCTTTAGCTTGTCTCTGAGCATCCGAGTCGCGCCATTACTCATGGGCAATTTTGCCATAGAGTTTGAATATGGATGCCGTGAATGATGCGAGAGAAATTCCCAAGGCTCGTTCAGGTCACCAGAAAATCTCCCTATATCCAGCCACTGCTGCTTCATCAGCTAGCTCATTTCCAAGAATACAATGTCCAGGTACGCAATATAGAGGCAACCCTTTGACAAGCGTTTGGAATATTCCTTTCATAAGCCAAGGTACATAAGACGCTTAATACCAGTTTGAGCTTCTACTTCAATGCGTAGATTCAATGAAAGAAGCCCAAATAAGCTCTCCAGAGCAGCTGTGGGAGTGGTCCTGAGACAGCCTGACAAGGCTACGCAGACCATTATTTGTAATCTGTTAAGATTAGACCTGATGGAGCTCAATCTAGTCCTAGACCACCAGACAATTGTGCCATATGTGATGATATTACAAACATTCATTGAGTATATCCAATAAACTATCTTGGGAGATAATTCCCACGTTTTACCAATAGCATTTCTGCAAGACCCGAAAATCTTCTTGGCCCTGCGGATACAGTATTCTAAATGATAACCCCAGTTAAGTTTGGAGTCATAATAAACCCCAAGACACTTGACATTCTCAATGAATTCCAACTTATAGACTAGGTAATACACATCATCTAGATTAAGACACCTTTTTCTGCTGAAGACCACAAGACTTATCTTGGATAAGATGCTTCTTTAAACCAGTTTTGCATATTTTCCTTATCAATAAATTGGTAAAAAGCTTTTGGATTTTTTAAAAAAAAAATGGTATCCAAGTTTTTGAATCTATAACATTCTTTCTCTGTTATAGCAGCATCTTTGAAATTCTAAGAAAAAAAATAGCTTAAATATTTAATTTTTAATATTTAATTTTTTTTAAAAAAAAGCATACCTTTTAAGCATTTGCGTATTGCAATTTGAAAGAAAAAAAACTTTTTTTTTCGATATTTTCTTTTTTTAATTCTTTAGAGTAAAGTAAATTACAGCTTTCTGGAAAAAAATAGTTGACAATATTTGTTTTTGTCATTATTATTCTGATATTGTTTTCATACTATTAAAAAGTTTTTTCAATTCTTCAATTATCTTATCTTACTGTATCTCTGACAGTTTGTTGAAATAATGTAGATTTTTCTTCAAAATATTTTGACATTGTTGCTTTTTTATAGTCTTACTTATATTATATCAAGGTATGCGACCGTCATTAACGACTTTGTATGTTCCAGAACAGAGGGGACAACGAAGCGGCCGCGCACCACCATCACCGCAAAACAGCTCGAAACCTTAAAGACAGCATACAACAACAGTCCGAAACCTGCCAGGCACGTTCGAGAGCAGCTCAGTCAAGACACAGGCTTGGACATGCGCGTCGTCCAAGTCTGGTTTCAAAACAGACGCGCCAAAGAAAAACGTCTAAAAAAAGACGCCGGTAAGAGCAGATGGGGAGAATACTTCAGAAATGGTCATCTGAAACAAGCAGTAGCGTCTGGTAGTGGTCCTCCTACGTCCCCAGAGAGTAGCATCGAAAGAGGTGGCGATGATTCCTTAGAAATTGATCTCAGGTCTCATAAAGATTTCAGAGGTAAGTATCATTTTTGAACACTTAAACACGGTTTTTTAAAAGCTCTTTGGTCAAGGAAAATAAAAGAATGGAGGAGAAGAAACACAGTTTAGCATGGTTTTTCGAAGATTTGCCGAGAAGGAAAATAAAAAGCTGCTGTTTAAGTGCTTTATACTTGAATCAGGCGATGATTTTAAACTATATATATGTATCATTTTAACGTGAAGAAATATCAGGGTTTTAGAATGAACAAATAACTTAAATACTTTGAAAGATTTTAAACCTTTCTAAAAATCCACAATTTTCTACCTTTTTTTCAAACAGATGAAAATTAGGAAAATTAATATCTTACTCCAGTTTTTTGCAAATATTTATGAGCCCAAATAATACAGCATTGGAGTTAGTTTTTCAATATTAAAAATTTAGACCACAAAAGCTTTTCCTTTTCTCAAAACTGTGCCTTTTCTTCCAGTTTTGCACCATTTTCAAAATAAATTTATAAGCCCTGGCAAAGCTAAACTTAACGTAACAGTTATTAGTAACTTTCAAACTCCCAACTCTTATGAAAATGTCACATTATTCCCAAAAAAACATAATTTCATGCCCTTAAAGAGCCTTCAGAAACTACCTTTGAAGTCAATCTCTGACCAATTGCTATGAAGCTCGAAAATGACGCAGCATGCATAAAATTCTTGAAGAATTGTACATTGGAAACATTATTCGGAAGTAATCTACGTATAATTTTCTTATCAATTAGTTAAAGAATTTCTCTAATTTGAAGGTTTATCACAATATAACAATTAGCTACGTTTTCAAATTCAGAAGAGTATTTTTTTTAATAACCGTTTATATTGAAAAACACTACACTTTATTTATAGGCTTCCATTCTTTCTTTGTATTGTATTATTATCTAGTAGAAATTTCGGGAACTTGTAAAGTGCCTATCAGAAAACAATAATGATAGAACAATTTGTCTATCATTATATTGCCCAAAGTAATTCAATTATTCTTAGATCAGTTTAATCAAGTGACAACGACGCTTGAAGATCCATCTAACTCAATTAAAATTATTAGTTGCTAAATAGTGAGATGGCTACCCGTGTCTGAATGACGGCAATTGTTCACAGTTTTCGATGGCGCCTAAACTCAGATGACGTGCAAGTTAAAGTTAGTATCTGAAATATTAATAAAAGCACATAATTTTCTTTAAAAAGTTGGTGAATTTTAATAAATTATTAAAATTTGTAACATGAAAAAAAACAGGGTAGCAGATAAAATACAATTATATCTGCTCAAAATGAATTATTTATTATTTTGATGAATCAATAATAATTGGTTCTAAGTGAAACAATAAATCAGCCTGGGCATTTTATACTGGGGTGTGCTTTTAGTTTCTTATTTAACTGCATAGTTGGAATTGAAATCAAATACACTTTCATATTTTTTAACTTAGAAAGACCAAATAAGTCTTAAAATACTTTTAAAACTGCATTAAAAGTATATAACTGTGTTCCTTATATTAATTTCTTTTTGTTAAGACTTCCCTTTCTTGATAAAATTTAAAAATTAAATGAATGAAAACTTTCCTGGAAATGTTTTCAAGTAGCACTTAAAGTAAAACAAGTTTAAAGTGAAAAATTGAAATATTACAAAGCAGGCAAGATATTTGTCTTCTCTGAGAGGAAAATAAAATAAAAGTATTCAGAAACTTTCTTCTATAACAACCTGTAGATCTTCCTTCTAACATCCTAAAAAAAGAAGAGAAAAAAAAGAGGGATACGTGCTCCAGCTGCACGCCAAGAACTCAGACAACAAGTGTTTTCTTTTGTGTCCCATTTTAGCGCTTTTGAGGGGTTTCAAAAGTTTGCGGAAGTTAGAAAGGGTGAAGTAAGGCTTCCTTTTCATGGGAGCTCTTTTAAGCAAACACCGTCTGCCGAACTCGTATCTTTCGGCCGCAAATGGCATAGTATTATTCCAAATATATACTTAGTTTTGAGTCAGAGTCAGTATATATGACAGTCAGAAACAAAAGCTAAATTTTCTATAACTATATTAATTAAAGAAATAGTTTAACCATTTTTTTATGCATGACGTGTAGTTGCTTGAACTAAAGAGAAAAATTTACAATGCTTTAATGTTTGTTGGAATATATACAATATACCTTAATAATAAGCCAATAGGAGTTTTTTGTTAAAACCTGGCAGTTTTAATGCAGGGTATGTTGAGAAATATTTTCAAGCGTTCTGGCTTTTATTGTTGCTATTGTTCATTATTTGATTTGGTGAAAATATTGAAATACATCATTTTCTATCGTTTAAACATCAAGAACACTCTATTCTCCTGATGTAAACTTTTGAGACTTGTTTTTTGTTGGACAGCATTAAAGACAAAGTTAGCACAAATAACGTCCATGATTTTCACAGAATTCAGAACTGCCGAACAGAAATTCATCGATGTCTCCATATTACAGCGAATTTTGAAAATTTTTCCTACATATCATGTCAATTGATAAAAAACATAACGAAATTCGAATATCTGTAGTTATTTTAAAAATGTACACGAAATATTTGAAATCAGTAGTTTTTGAAAATTTAATTTTCGATTTCATTTAACTCAATAATTTTCACCCGGTGCTATCTAAACATTCGAAACTGTTAAAAAGTTTTTAACGTAATATAATCATAATTTAATTCATAATACTGTTCTAGTTTTCCAATTTTAGTTAGCTGCATTCTTAATCTAAAACCTCAAATTTGAACAACGATTCTTTCGTAAACTATTTAAATTTTATTGTAACAAATATTTAGAGTCAGACGTATGCGTATATGATAATCAAGACTTAGAAATGAAATTTTACAACCATATCGATAAACAATTTTTTCTTTATGTATAGTGCGGGAGGTCACACCAATTACAAATAACGTTTAACAACTTTTTACTGCTTACTTAACTAAGATCGTCATATTGTTGAACTTTGTTGAATAAAATATTACTTACTTTGGGCGGTAGCATTATTCTAATTTTCTGCCTACTAAATTTTTGCATTTTTAATCGTCCTTAATCAATGTTTTCTCCAAAATTTTGTTTAGAAACTTGTATGAATTCTGAAAATCTTACTTTAAAAATCTATGTACCAAAGTTTATCCGGATGGCTGAGTTAGCTAAGTTTATGGTACCCTGTATTTTAAGTAAAAGTACATTTAGTACTATTAAACTTAATGTAAACTATTTTGATTTTTTGTTCAAAAATAATTTAAAATTCACTAACAATTTTATTTTAAAATCATTCATTTTTTTTACTTAAAATTTTTATTTTTATGACCACTATTTTTCGATCTGATAAATGTCTGAAATATGTTGTACTACTTCATTCCAGTATTAAAATTTTAAGTAACTGGTGTAAAGCGAGTGTGATTCTTTAACTATTTAAGAGTAATTTTTAACTTTATTTCACACATAGTGTTCATAATAATCATCGTGATGCAATATTTTTCCATTAAACCACAATAAACATTAGTTTTTTTTTTCTTTTTTTCATTTTAGATGATGATCTAAGGGACACATTTGGTACTCCAATGGGTAATTCACAACTCGGTGAAACCGACTCATCTATGAGGCCATCTCCAACCCCGCCTAATGGAATGAATTATCTTGGTCCAGGAGGGCATACCTACCCCGGCCCTGGAACGCCACCTTACCTGGCTGGCAGCCACAGCCCTTATCCACCTTCTTACTACGGAGATGCTTATCATCAAAATGGACACCTTACGGGAGGACTCCCTCCCCCAAGGGGAATCCTCGGGGTACCTCCCCAACCTACAGATCTTAGTGCGGGTAGTCGGAACTTAACATTTCCCGAATTCCCACCAAGTCCAGCGTCCTGGCTCGATGAAGTGGACGGTGGAGGGGGCGGTGTGCCGCCTTCTGCTGCCCAATATTGAGAAAAAGGTTAATTGAAAGGGTTAATTGGCCTGTGAATAACCACCGGATGTCTTCCGGTCGAGTTTGAGAATGAGGACTTTACGGACGTGGTTTCCCGCAACTTGCTTCTGTCGCATGACCCTGTCGAGGGTCTTTAATGAAGTCATGTCAATGAGCATAATAATCAACGTGAGAGAGAAAAGCGTATTAAATCATTACAACCAGAAGAAAACCCTTATCTTTATATTTCTCAATTTACACTCACAGATTTTCTTTTTTAACAAAACTACTTCTTTCATTTTGAAATAGTATTAAAACAATTGTGTTATTGTAGCTGTTAAGGAATTAATATTTCTTTTAGTATCAAAAAGATTAAAACCAAAAAAGTAAGGATAAAGGTGTTCAGCACTTATAAAATAAATAATAATAATAGTATCTTTAACATTAACATAACATTTAACATCATAAATAATAATAATAGTATATTAATCATTTTGCTCTCATAGAACTTTCAAGCAGAAAAATGTTAATGTCCCTTTTATTTAAGTTCAAGTTATTTGTCATTAGTAACTTGCTTTGTTATTATGGTATTTTTAATAAATTTAACAAATTTTTCGATAATTAACAAAAGTCAACATATATGTATATATATATATATTAGCAAAATTTTAATTATGAGTTACGGAAAACAGGAAGGGCTAAGGGTTATGTATATTTATTCTTGCTCGTGCAAGTAATGCATTAATTCAAATTCTCAAATTTACACAAATTCATTCTTAATAGTTTTTTATTTAACTCTAATGAGTATAACGTCTAAATTCAAACTGATACAAAAAAAAAAAAAAATAATTCTAACTGTATAGTTTTTTTTTAAATATCTGGTTTTTTGTTTCATTTCATACTGACTACACTCCTCACAATGGGAACCACTTCGTAAAACTACGGTTTTCATTCGAAACTCATTGCTCCACCGAAACAGAAGCGGACAAATGTCTCATCCAGATAGAAGCAGAGCAATATTTTAGAAAGAAAAAAAAAATAAAAATAAAAACACCACGTTTTTCGTCGTGCTCTCTGAAGCACTTCAGAGGACGTTCGAAATCATTTGTAAGTTTTAATCTGTATAAAGTTGAAGAACTTGAGATACATTTATCGTCAAGAGAGAGCTCTTACTGTTGTATTTTATTTCGGTTTCTGTACAGAATCACATAAAATGGAGAGCTTCATATTTGCGTTGTGGCCAGTGGTTACATATGTTATGTGTGGATAGTCATCCTTTACAATTATGTGATCGTCAGAAGTCACATCCTTCAAGAAGTGAAATGGCTTAGTTTTCATGATTTCTGGTACTTCGAGTCAAATTAACTTGGCACTGTTGAGGAAACTACAGTATGTAATATTGCAATAGTCTTTGGCACAATTCTTCAATTTTCAAAAAAAAAAACCTAATTGAAAATAATTATCGCAGAATGAAATTTAAAATTAATGGAACTTCTAAGGGTATCCAATTGTAGATGGGTATTTCTTTATTTTTTCCTTGATTTCATTTTATTCATCAAGTAAAGAAAGCGAACCTCAAGACTGTTTGATTCTCTTAACAAGAATAAAGTTAAATATACTCTACGCTATTCCTTTTTATTCTTTTTTCTTAAAAGCAAAACTATTTTTGCATCATACAGTTATTTCTCTTTAATGAAAAAAATATCCTTGCAAAATTAATGAATGAATTAAATGTCTCTAATTTATTATAATTTAATTTAATTTAGTAGAAAAAAAGTCCAAATAAATTCATAGTCTAAAATCACTACAATTATTTTCTCCTTTTTCCATAGAGTACTGTAGAATAAGAATTTCGATAATAAAATAAACCAGTTAATAGAAGAAAACAATTTTATTTAATTTATTCTAAATTTATATTTTTCGCTCAATACTGAGTTTTACCTATACAGAATACATTCAAGTCTACATTAGCTGTATTTTAGTGTAAGGAGTCAAAATTAATTTCTCATTTTATCCTATTGTTAAAATAGTTTATGTAGATAATAATGTGGACAATAATTTTCCACCTTGTATATGGTCCTTTCCTTTCTTTCGTGTTTTTGCAATAAAACTGCGGTTGAACTTCAAAATTACAAAAAAAAAAAATTGATATTGGAGCCTATAAATGACCATAGGCTATTGCTAAGTTAAACTGACACGAAGTATTATTAATTGTTTCCGACCACGCTCGAAAAATGAAATGCATTTCATATTTTATATATTCATCGAAATTAATATATTTATTTTCTGATACAAGCCACTTGAAATCCAAAGCGATAAACTTTAACCATTTTCCATCAAATTTAACATTGTTGTATTCAACAATATGTGCCATATTTCCAAAGAGTAAAAGATTTTTAAATAGCATTTCTAATAGAATACCAGAACTATAACTAAAAAAAGAACTTAACTTAAGAATTAATATGAAAAGTTAAAATGAAAAAAATAATTACAGTTTCAGCACCAAATAATTTTTATACCACATAAAACTTAATTAAAAACTTCAGACAGCACGCAGACAGTTCTGCTGAAGAAAAAAAAATTATCATAAAATCTTCCAATAAAGAGTAATGATTTATAGCTCAGCGAAAATTCAATAATCGAAGTTAATAAAGCTTTTTTAATAGTAAATATTAATTATAAATACACATTAAAGCTGGATCTCAAGTGGTTTATATGCGATCTTACTAATACGCTAACCTTTCTAAATTATGTATAATGCATAGATTAACATTATTACTTTATGTAAATTTCTGTATTAAAGTAAACAAGTAACTATCAAAATATAAATATTGGAGAAAACTGATTGATTTTTCCTTCTGATGGATGTGCTACTATTATTATTTCAATGTAATCATCGTCATTTTTCTATCACTTGGGCACAATAAACTAGTCAATTATATTTTTGTTATATTTTTGTGTTTTTCAAACAACCATGCACTTTAATCAAGTACTCACAAATACGAATTTTTTAATTAAAAAAATTAATCCTTATGCTACATTTTACAAGAGATAAACTTATTACTTTTAATTAATGGAAATTAACTTTATTCGTTTATTTTATGTTGCAGTCGCTTTATTCCTGCATGAATACAATTAAAATTACGTGCGTAAAGAAAGTAAAAAAAAAAGAGTATGTGCGTACATATCGATTTACATACAATTCTATACATATGCTTGTATGTATATATGTACTTTTGTACAGAGAGCAAAAAGAAGGATATTTCTGAATAACTTTTGATCAAAAAATAAAATAAGATTTTTCAGTGCTGAGACTTTATATTTCAGGGGCTTAACTTTCAATATTCAAATTGATTTAAGATAATTTCTACAAGCAATATTTTAATTCACGAAATTAGACACATAAATGTTCTTTCTCTGAATAAACATTTTTCAAAGCAAAACTTTCCTTCGATGTATTTGGATTCTTGACCCCTAATTTATTGGGGTAAACACAACCTGGAAAATATGCATATTTCACAACATTTAAGAGAAGCGGCAAATTTTCTACCACAATAATAAAACTTTTTTATCCAAAGAAAATCCAGGGTAGAAAAAAATACTTATTTTTATACTATAATTTATATACTATTTTTTCTTACTTAATTTACTAATGGTTGAAAAAGTTTTGAACTGAATTATAATAATTTTTCATTTTCTATGAGATGACGAAAAGTGTAAAAAGTGAAATTCTAAATTCTTATCAAAAGGCCCAAGCTTCCAACAGCTCTTCTCATGTTTCCAGATTGCTGATACCACATATTTTGGGGGTAAAAAATCAAATGATGTAAAAAATGAACAAAAAAATGAAATAAAAATTAAAAAATAAAAATCCTTGCGCAAAAAATATTCGTTTTTGCATCTGGTTTTATTACTTTGCTTATGAAATAAATTTTTTAAATTAATTTTTGGTCTTAGTCATCCTTTGATGAGGATGTTAGAATTAACATTCTAATAAACAGAATATTAGGGAAGTAGAATATATAGTGACCGTCCTGGCCTAAATAATTTCTTCATACTAACAATGTTCTATACGAAAATGGTTTTTGAAATAGAAATGTGATATAATAAAGTCCACTTAAAGGCACTAAAAAAACATGCTGAAGGACTTGTCTAATACATAAAGGTTATTTACCTATTTTTTTAATGCATGTTGTATACTTTACAGGAACAAAATGAAACAATTTATTTATTTAAGGGAAAGATGTTAAAAATAATTGTTAAAAAAGTTATTCAAATTGAGAGTGTATCATCTTTGTTTAAGATTGTAAAGTTTATTTTTGAAAAAAATACTGGGTTGAATTTTTTCAGTCTTTATTTAAAACTCAAATTTTCTCTTTTTTTGAACTTTGGTTTCGTTTCTTTTCTTAAACTACTTTTTTTTAAAATAAATCTAGGGAATTCTCAAACAGTTGAGAAAATGATAAACTCATCCCAATTTCTTGACTCTTTGATTAATGCACGTAATTATTTTAATCAGTTTAAAATTTTAAAAAATACCATTGAATATTACTTGAAATTAAGGCCTAAGGATTAAGTCTCGTTATTAAGAACTTATATAAAAATTAAGTTAAAACGGATATCGGCCGATAACGTTTTCTTACTTATTTATTTATTTTAATAAAAGAAAGGGAAAAAAAGACTGTAATTGCATTTTTAATCAAATACACATTATTTTAGATCTGTAATTTACTCTATAGTTGAATTTTTTTGGATATTTCTGTATTAAAGAAATTGAATATTAAAAATAGAGTATTTGTTTAATTTTGACTATATTTTGATTACTTTTTTCAAAATGAAAAAAAAACGTTTTATATAAACATTGAAATATTAAAATATTTGTTTAAAATCTATAATGTTTTCATAAAAATTTAATAAACGATTGAAATAAAGTTGTTCGTACACCAAAAATAAAATGCTATCGATTCAGGATGCATATGAATCTTAAGTTTGAAATTTTTCATAGGATACTTGAAAATTGAGGATGTTTTGTTTGAATTGTCCAATGGGGATTAACTTTCGAAGATGGTATTACAATAATTAGACTAAAAGATTTGAATGACTTTTTTTTCCATTTTGGATTTATAGCTGTTATAAAGAGTGACGCAAAACATTTTTGATTTTATTTTATTAATTAACTAATATTATGAAGGGTAGTTGCTCCATATTGAATATCAATAGCTCATAGACAAATCAAGCTATATATTTGAGCTGAATTCCTTTGAAGAGCTAAAATTTAGCTTAAAAGCTGAAACTACAAAATCTCTGAAAAATTTCTGAAAACTAAAATATGTAATTATAAATTTCTTAACATTTTTTAATAATCATTTAAATGGTACCTCCGAACATGGAATCCTTTGAAACTCAAGTAACAACTTTAATCTTCAAAAAAGTTGAATGCATTTTTGTTTCCTATTATATTATTGTGCTCAAAAAAAGTCTCTTAACTTTGATTCAACATTTGGAATATAATAATCTTTACACATAAGTAATTACTAAAAATACGCATTAATACAAAGTAATGTATTCGCAATGTAAGTAATGTAGTCCTTTAAGAATTTCCAAGGCATTATTCTTCATTTTTTTTGCAAAATATGACCTCTCATGTCTAAATTTGGCGACATTTCAAAATGAAAAATAATTCATATTGAATATACTTGATAAGAATACATCACTTCTACTAAATAATTTTCAAACAAGTCAATGCACAATGCTTACATTTATTCAGATTCACTAAAAGCAGCACTTTTTGTAGTTTTTTTATTTTGTTTTAGATTAATGAGAAGTAAATTTTATTGTGAGAACCTATGCTGTAATCAATTTCCGCAATATAACCATCCATTATAAAAGGAAAACAATATATATTGCAATATGATTCAGTTGATTTTAGCACAAAAAGTACTAAGATTAAAATAGGTAAAAAATAGTTTATGATGGAATTATAAACCATAAGAATAATATATAGTATATATATATATATATGTAGGATTCTCATGAAATATGACAATTCACTGTCCCTTGCTCCAAGATCTAATACTATAATACAAAAAGAACTT